AGGCCCGGAGTCTCCGCGGGCGGCAACACGGTCCTGCTGGTTAGCAATCTGAACGAGGAGGTTAGTGGCCGGCCTGTCCTGTTCACCCTTCACTCCATTCCATCTGTGCAAGTTTCCATGTGGATTTCATTTTGCACTTGCCTTTCTTTTATGTACATTCATTAGTCAAAGTATTTTTTGTATGTTTCTACTTCTGAATAAAACCTATGTACCTAAGTAATACTTTATTTCCTTAGATAGTCATATCTCTTTAAATATATATTTTTTTAACCTAACTACCTATTTTTCCTAAGAAAAATATGGTGAAGTACAGTAGTTTGGCTTTTTATCTTTTTGTTGTTCTCAAAGGCAAATGTAATCCAGTTTGCAGATTTAACTGTAAAAAATTTTGCTCTTTGCCTTTTCTAATTATTTGCTTGTTCATTTCATGCTTATGTGTCATTGTATTTTTTAAATCTTCTTTGATGTGAACGACTCTAATCCGTGTTTCTTTAAAGGTTCTTCCAAAGATCTTGCCGAGGCACTCTTCCCGCCTTTTAGTAATTTTTCTTTGCAGTTATTAGTCACTGTCTCCTAAAAATATTTTCAACGTTATCGCCCCCTTGTTAAATAGCTTACCGTTGAGTTATTTTTTTAGTTGTACATTTATGTCTGGTATGTTTTATTTTGATTGCTATGAAAGCTGGTATGAAATGTGGGAGGCTCAGTGTATCAGTTTATGGTGTCTAATTTGAACATTGGTTTCATTTTTAATTGGCCTCTGTCAGTATGAACATTGAGCTGATTTGATCATTGGTACTATTGTCGCTCACAGTTCTGCATGTGAAAAGGCTTGAATCAGAGTGCCTTTGTTTTTCTTTTAAAAATTCTGCCTGCATTTCATAACCAGCCATGCTTATGCAGTTACAGTTCAGAGTTTACAACCCTTGTGCATGCTCCTGCCCCGTGTTGAGATGAAATGCTGTAATTGACTCTTGATGTAGATGTACTTTACCCATATTTGTCTTGGATGACTACATTTTACTCAGTTTTTCTTGTACAGTACATAAACCAACCATTTTCTGACCAAATTCCTGCATTTCCTATGTACTGACCTATATTTTATTTTTTTTTTGTTCCCCAATTCCTTATTTTTTTCTTCTGCATTGCTGTTTCCCTTCCCCATTTCATCCTTTCCCCTGTGTGTTCACCTTCCCTCTCCTTGTCTTTCCAAACACCCATTCCCTCCCCTGTCTGACCCTTTATTTTCCTTGTCCTGGTCTCCATCCCTGTCTCCATTCCCTGTTCATGCTTCTGTGCTTGAACAAACGTCCTCGGACCAACTTGCCCCAATTAACCGCCTTGAACCATGATCATGACCACTCACCATTCTGCGGGAACCACCCTCCGTATGGATGATCTGTTCATCTCCGCTCTTCCTCGACTCTCCTCTCTCCTTGTCTTACGCTGCTTGCTCTTCTCTCCTTCTAAAGATGGTTACGCCCCAAAGTCTGTTTACCCTCTTCGGTATGTTATTGTTAGCACTATACTTTTATTATTGATTTGATTTTGGTTTCACCTTAATTCTTATTTGTAGCTAGCACTTTGGCTTAAAGTTGAATAGTAAATCTTTTGCTATTTTTCTTTGCTATTTAAAACTCTCCATAGACACAAAATTTGTTTTAATGCATGCTGATTTATTTTGCATGGTCTTTAATATCATTCACATAGCTTTGAGGGTTTATCAAAATTTGTTCTTTTCAAAATTCACTGTTCAAAATCTTGATCTTTCTTTATTCATTTGTGAGAATGATGAGTTTGAATGAGTGATCATGTTGATGTCTGAATGTTTCATTAATATGTCAGAAAGATAATCGTTAGCCGACTTGCACATAAAATTAATTTCCTTTTTGGATTACCTCTCTGTGGCTCCACTCAAGGTGTTTATGGAGACGTGCAGCGCGTGAAGATTTTGTACAATAAGAAAGACAGCGCTCTGATCCAGATGGCGGACGGGCACCAGTCACAACTGGGTAAGGAAGCTGTGGGCTCTGCCCGTCTTCACGTAGCTCATGTCCATCCGTGAGTAAAAGGAGGGATTGTTTAAGAGCCAGGGTTCAGCATGTCCTGTTAATGTTCCTGTTTTCATGTCAGTAGTGGTGTAGGTGAACATACTGGTGTTTTTCTGCTGTCCTCTTACTGTGTCTCATGTTCAGTCTCATAGAAAAGGGTTCGGGCTCCAGGAATGCAGTAACAATTGTCCATAAAAATTATGGCATTTATATTATAAAGCTCTTTTCCTGATGATTCCCTGTAATGGAAGTTAACTGTTCATATAGTCTGGGATTCCAGTTAATGCCAGACTACTTGAATTCTTACATCATTTAGAAGTAATGTAGTCACGTGGAAAATGTATTTTAAGGATACCAGGTTCTTTCAAAATGAAAAACCTGTGCCAGATACACCATTAATTCCTTTTGGAATCTTAAAACATACCTTAGTCAAGTTACACTTAGTTTTGCTTATATAAGTTATCGGTGATTTTAATTAAATTGGTATCTCATTTCACTAAATCAGAATCAGATCCATGCTAGGTCTAGACTGACGGTATCCTCACACTGATTGACTGTGAAAAGCCTGCTCTTAAGCTGAGAATTCCGTTAGTTGAGATTCAGGAGTGATGGTGCCTCAGGCTGAGGGCATAGTCACAGTTTTTATTTTGACGTTTGCTGTTTTTGATGTGAGGACTAGTGTAGTTTTACTGTTAATCTCACAAGACTCACCAACTAACCACATTATATCCGGGCCTTTTGGCCTTTGGAGACAAGTAAGCTTGAATTGCAGTGTTTCTTACCAGCGATGGTGGTAGCTCAGACAATGCACAGAACTTGAGGCATCTGCTTTCTACCTCTTGAAGTACAGCTCTCTGCCTCTGAGGAGAGAGGGGGCTTAGGCAGTGTCTCCTTTCCCCACTGTGTCCGCTCTGCTCGGGGCGGCTGGTCCTCGTAAGTAGCATTTTCTTCCTCATCGCGTGGGAGCTGGGGGTGGCAGAGCCTCGGTGAACAAGGTGCCCATGGTCATTGTGGCTGAGCAGTACCTGAGGGAGAATGAAAGCAAATCCTTCCGAATGGTTTCTGGTTCTGTTCTATGTACGGACTGTTGTAATGAGTGTAGTGTGCCTAGATTGGGGGTGGGGAGAAGATGAACTTGAGGTTGGGGTGTGGAGTGGGAGGGAGGAGAGGGCAGCAAGGCGTGCTCACTTCCTTTCCTGGGGCCACAGCTGATGGGTCGGCAGGGTTGTCAGGGAAGAGTGGGGTGGGGAGGCATAATCTGGGTTTCATTCTGTGGAGGAAGCTTTCCGCCAGGTGCCTCGTCCGGGGCAAGTGGATTAAACTTGACACCAATGGTTACTAGACACTCAGGACTTCTTTCTAAGTCAGAGACTTCAGATTTTAAACGATTAAAATCGTCTTTGCTTTGTGCTTTGTTAAAACGTAGGCATTGTTTCTTTTCTTGTAGCCATGAACCATCTCAATGGACAGAAGATGTATGGAAAGATTATCCGTGTCACTCTCTCCAAGCATCAGACTGTCCAGCTGCCTCGGGAGGGGCTCGATGATCAGGGTCTCACTAAAGATTTTGGTAATTCCCCACTGCATCGTTTTAAGAAACCTGGATCCAAAAATTTTCAGAACATTTTTCCTCCTTCTGCAACCCTTCACCTGTCCAACATCCCGTGAGTATCACCCATGAGCTGGAGCTGGAGCTGGAGCTGGGGAGGGTGGGCCCTTGAGGAATGAAGTATAAAGCTGATGAGTAACCCTTCCTCTTCGTTTTGCTCCAACCCCCAGCCCTTCGGTCGCAGAGGAGGATCTGCGGACGCTGTTTGCCAACACGGGGGGCACTGTGAAAGCGTTTAAGTTTTTTCAGTAAGCACCCTTTCTGCTCTTTCCCTTGGTGGCTGGAGGGAAGTAAACGTTCTCTTCAAGGGATTTTTATTTTTGTTTATCGAGATTGTGGTTTCTGGAATGGGCAAAACTCAAGTGTGTAACGAAGCCTCCCTAGTTGTTACCAAGTGTCTAACTTGATTCTTTTGCTTCAGAAGAGATCACAAGATGGCCCTCCTGCAGATGGCCACGGTGGAGGAGGCCATCCAGGCCCTGATCGACCTGCACAACTACAACCTGGGGGAGAACCACCACCTGCGAGTGTCCTTCTCCAAGTCCACGATCTGAGGGCGGAGGCGGAGGCGGGTCACAGTGTTGTGTCATCACCTAGTGACTGTTCAGAAAGTGGGGACCAGAGTTTGATTTTTTTTTTCCTTTTTTTTCTCATGCTGTTATCATTCCTTGGTTCTAAAACGAAATGGCATATGTAAAGGCAGAGTATTAACTGCTGATTCCATCTGTTCGATAGGGAAGCCATTTTTATTGTCTGTTTAAAATTTGTTTAATTTTCCTTTTCTTTTTCAACTTAGTTGACATACGTGCCTTAAAGGAAAACTAGTGTTGCTATTGTGCAATTCACTAGGAATTTACAAGGGATTGCTTGTCTCGGGCACACTGTTATATGGGGATTACACTATGTATAGGCAGGGGTGTGTAAAAAGGTTAAGTTTTTGTTTCTCCTGCTTGGAACGTACTTTGAATTATTGGCTTGTCACATTTCTTTCTATTTAGTCAAATAAGATGCAGGATATTGAAAGAACAAAGCAGCATTTTTTAGTTATACTACCTTAGGCTTTATTGCTTTAAAAACACATTGGCCTTTTTGTATCTCACAATTCTGGTCTAGATTCTGTTAGGAATGTAGGCATTAGTTGAATTAACAAGATGCAGAGTATTAATTTCTGTCAGTTTGAGCCCTACGTGGAAAGCATTGTGGAACCTTAACCTTTTGTACACGCTCTTGTGGGACGCGTCCTATAACTGCTGTCAGCACTAAGTAACGTCTTGTTTGTGGCTGAATACTTTTCGTAGATGTTTTTTGAAGTTGACATGACTTATGTGCATTTCAATACCTATTGCCATCCTTAGTTTGTGATGACGACTGGACATGGCTGTGGATTTCTGAGCATGGAGGCTGGTCTGGCTAGTGCAGGAACTGGTGCATGTCTTTCCAAGATGCAGAGAGTCACTGCAAACCTTTGCAGGAAGATGAATTTTGTGGCAGTTTTCTAAAACTGACAACCAGGTGGGACCAAAGTTTATGTGCCTTTAGTCTTAATTTACCTTGCATTGTAATATTCAGTTTTAATAAATCTTCAAAATATTTTGTATTTAGGAATAGATCTGACTTTAATAAAAACATGGCTCAGAATCTACAGGTCAAATTAATTTGAACAGTTCTTGTCGATCTGAATTGCTGATTCTGTTTAAATGACCAATACTTTTTGAAATTGATGTACTTCGTTTCAAGATTCATAGATTCTGTTATCTGTGTAGACAGAATGGTCATGTATATTTTCTATTAGTTGAGTTTTTACATCCTTAGAAATGTAAAATTCAGTCTAGTTTGGAAGCGGCACAATTAAAAATTACTTTTCTAACAAAGTCGGGAGGTTTGATGGTGGTCTACTTTCCTTGTGTGTACTCTGCTCCCTCTGTAGCATGCTCAATAAACACTGCAGCTCTGCTCACCTCTGTCTCTCTCTGCTGCCTCTCCTGTCCCTGTGCTGTGCGCCCTGGCCCCGCAGGTGGGAGGGCAGATACACCGACATGCTGTGAACTTGCACCAGGGTGGTGGTTTTTTGTTTGTTTGTTTTTTAATTTGAAAGACGGTGACTGCTTCCCAGGAGGACCCGGAATTAACATGTCCCACCCGTTACAATCTGCTGCTTAAAGACAGATTGTAGCTCGGCCGTCGCTTTCCCGGTTCCCTGGGGAGGGGGGGGGGGCGCGGTGAATGCAGTGCACTCTCTCCCACTGCCATGCTCTCTCGCGGTTTCACCTCTCCTCTCTGTCTGCTAAGGTCTCCTCGTCCTGGACAGCCCTGCGCTGTGACACAGCGCGCCATGTGGGGAGGGGGCTTCTCGCCAAGGGACACATTCAGGTATTGGAAGCTGAACAGTGAGTTCTCATTTCACAACTTCCGCTTTTCAGAGGATTCTGAATAAGGTGCTGTATCTATTACTCAAAATACTTTAGGTCACATTTTTCCAAATAGGTATATTGGTGTCAGATAGCTCAGAGTCATACATGTTGCTTAGGTTGGTTCTGTGATAAAATAACTTAAAGTGCACATGTGTGTGTGGAGAGCAGTGACCAGGAAGTGGCCTCTGAGTGTGCCGGGCGGGGAGCATGTGGAGAGGGCACTCCCTCCTCAAGCCAGGACCTAACACAGGGAAGTGGGTACAGAATTGTCTGAGCACAGGTAGGATTTCCTATTTTATACTTAGTCGTTACTCTCCTATATATTTATTCCCTTGCGGTTAATGGGTTTTTTAGTTTTAAGATTTTGCAAGTAATAGAATGAAAGTGTGCAAATACGTATAAAAACAAACATACTGAGCACATGGGCACACTGTGCTCTCCACCCCTCACACGCCTCATACTTCTCAAGAAGAGGATGTTTGGACATTGACACGTCCCTTATCAAATCTCATGGCATTTAATTAATTTTGAGGTTTTAAAGTTAATCTCTTTTCAATAAACACTGAATATAGATGGTTTGAGTCTCAAGTTTCTCCCAGGCAATGTAAAGAGTGAGCAGTTAGTACTTTACAGCTGAACCTGTGTGTGGTCCTTACACACTTGTCCCCGCCTGCTGGCCCCTCCTCCCAGTCAGCGGGCACAGTCGATTTGGTCTCAGTGTGTTTAGGATTTCTGACTCAAGCAACTTCAACTTGTATGAAAGATTCCAAACATGCAACAACTAGGACTGCCACAAACTGCTATTCCGCTCCGGTGACCGACTTGGACCATTTCCTCCTCCACTTCTCACCTCCCGTGTTACCGCGGCCCGAGCCAGGCCTCCTCATCCGCCCTCCCGGCTGCAGTCACTCCTGTGGTCACCGCTGGGCCCGCCTGGCCCACCAGCAGGACAACTGCCTCAGGTCCCAGAACCTTCATTCAAAACGCAGCCCTGAGACCAGCAGCGGCCCTGGAGCTGCTAGAAGCTCCCATTCCACCTGCTGAGGGTACAGTTCCCCGAGATCGGCAGGTGAGGCCCCTGTGACAGGAGGGCTAGAGAAGCCCCGAGTATGCCTTTGTTTTAAGATCACCTTAAAGAGTTTGTGATTTTTTTCCCCCACCCGATTTTGTGTTTTAAAAAATAATGCAGTTGCCTGTGTTTGTAACACTCTACCAGAAACACGAAGATGTAAATATTGTCGTATGAAACCAGACCCTAGAACAATGGATTTCTACCGAGAAACATCTTAGACGTGAACCGCATTTAGCAAGGCCAGGGGTGAACCTGAGGAGGGCGGTGAAGGGTCAAGGGCCAGACGAGAGAATACAGGTGGGGGCAGGTGGATCACTGTGCCTGGATGAGGACAGTGACCCAGCCTGTAAGCGAAGATTTATTTTATAGTCAGAGCACACGAGTTTCCCATCTGCTCCTTCCCTGTTGTTGCCACTTTCTGAACGCCATCAAGCCTTGTTTAGGCAGCACTGGCTGCACCCCCGCAGCCCTAGGACTGCAGGTCAGACCATAGGGTCAAGCTTGCCTACAACCATGGCCTTTTGGCTGTACTTGTGCCGGGAGGGCTTTGCCACAAGTCAGCCGGAGCGCCGCAGCCGCTCCACAATACGTTCCTCACCAACACCTACTTTTAATCACTTGAAAATTCATTCTTTCATTCGAGACATAACTAGGAGCCCACCTAGATCCCGTGAAACGGCAGTGACAGGTCAGGAAACGGCAGGTGTGTGGTTTGATGTGTTTTCAGGAAGGAGTTCCTGGATATTCAGCCCCCACCGGCTAGGGAAGGGTTCTTGGAGGTTGGTGGACAGGAGTTAGCTAGGGTGGAGGGGGAACGGAGACAGGTGTGCGTGTGTGTCTCTGTGTGTCAGTCACCTGGGAGCACCTAATAGTTCACCGTGAGGGCGAGTGCAGCACAGCTGGGTCAGCGGCTGAGGCAGGAAGGGGTGGAAAGAGGCAGCTGTGGCAGATCCCAGCTCAGACTCATCGCGCGCGGTCCTGTGGTCAGGAAGCCGGGGCTCAAGCCTTCCTAGAGGAGCTCCTGAGTCGGCACAAGAGCTCAGCCTCGGGTCCTCGCACCCTCACCCAACACCAGTGCCAGGTCCGGGTGCAGACCTGCGTGACCAGAGTCTCGTGAGCGTCCCACCATTCGCTGCTTCACACTTTGAAACTGGGACCGGGGGCCAGTCACCAGACATTTCTACAGCTGCTTCCTCACCACTCAGTGCTTCCTGGTGTCATGAACGGTCTGGCTGGTAACCATTGGAGGCTTTGCAGTGGGCCTTCTCCCCACGGCGTGCTTCCCGGGTGTCAGATTTAAAATGTGAAAAAGGCACCGAGACAACATTCAGTTACAGATTTTCAGGTTTTCGTATAATCATGACCTTGAGGCATTTTGAACTTGAGCTTTGTTTGAAATTCACAAACATGATTATAATTTCAAGAAGCACTGTCTTAAAGTTGTCTTATTGCTGTAATGAAGCTGCTAGAAATTTCATTTATTCTCCAGTTAAATCTCAGGAACCCTAGTTTATCAGGAAATCAGTCAGTGCTGAGACGAGATGCGGCTTCGAGTCGGGCTCAGATTTATTCCGGGGACCCCGAGGAATGCCTATCAGTCAGTCACAGGTTTATTGCCTGTTCTATTTATTTTTTAATATAAATTTCAATTTAGCACTCTGAGGGTATGCTCCATATATTACTACTTTTATCATGTGTGTATCTTCATTCATTTAACGCTTGGTATTCGGGAAGTTGGCAAATCCTACACCACAGCTTTTGGTGCCGCACGCATTGCCTCCAGTCCCTGGGCACGCCACGCTCGGCCTGGGGGCCGTCCACGCTGGCAGTAGCTTCATGGCTTCTTTGGCAGCTGTGGCGATGGTTTATTCACACCCAACACTTAAGTCTAATATTTGACACGGCCATTGTTTAAAAAAATAGCCTTTCATGGTGACAAAAACTCGTCATTTCTAGAAATGGCTTGAACAGTAAGTGCCTTTCTTAGAAAGGGCGTAACCACGTCAGAGCTCGTGGGCCGGTGTCCCGCTTTGAAGGGACGCGATTCTCGAATGGAGGGAACTCCCCTGGTTCAGAAATGGGAGGATCTATACCCAACTACTGCAGACACCATCGATTTCTGCGTGTACCGATCTGAGTGCTGAGTTGGTTTTGCTCCTAGAGGCATGTGTATTTTTTTTGTTAAATTCGAAACCTTTCCTTCTGACCTGATGAAGTATCTGTAGGTTCCATTCCATTTATACTTGATCTGGCAAGAACTTGGAAACACGCTCAGCTGTCCCTTCCCACGGCGGGCCCCTCCCTCCGTAACGCCCCTCACGGCCTATGACCGTGGCCCCTCTTAGGGAAACAGTTTGGTTCCGCCCATTGGCACAGGCCCCCTCTTTCAGGTCAGGGTGCTGTGACTCATCCTAAAGCCCCGCGGCTTTCTGCCCGCATAACCCACACACGGCCCACACGGTGCCTCCTCGGGATTCTCTGATCCCTTGATCCATGTCCTTCCTGAACTAGTTGAGTACACGTGTGAAGCAAATCATAGGGGGTGTGTTTCTTAATTAAAAATGAAGCTTAATATTGGGAAGAGTCCCACTGACTTAAAGTTCCTCCCACCTGGACAGACAGGTGCCCGCCCGTGCCAGCGCCACACCGGCCTCCTCGCCAGCAGCCGTGATAGAAAGGCGTGTCCGCGTGAACCGACTCCGCCCGTGGGAGAGCGGAGGGGCCGCGCCTGCAACGCTCAACAGGACGCGGTGGAGGGGACGCGCTCTGTTAATCGTCCGGCTTCCCAAGGTCTGAACTGCCGGAGTGAGCGTTTGCTCAGCAGAGAAATGGATGCTCTGACCTGGAACAGGAGGTCAATTACCTCCTCTCCCGGGACCAGAGCCCTCCCGCCCCGGTTCCAGCTGCGGGAGGAGCCGGCCGTGGCTCTGCCCGGGTCTGCACACCCACACGCTCCTCAGGGCGTTTGGGTAAATTGGAAACAAGACAGACCACTGAGGTGGCGGCCATGTGGCCGTGGGAGGCACCATGACACACAGGAAGTAATGCTTCCTCCCCAGGAGCCAAGAGAGAAGACGGTGCCCCCCTTCCTGGCAGCTGCTGGGACAGGGGAGCCCAGCGGTTCTGGGGGGCTGTGGCTGCAGGCGGCACAGAGGGGAGCGACACCCGCATCACTAATGAGAGGCCCTCCTGCACCTGGTGAAAAATTAATTGGCGCACAGCCCCCCGGAAGGTGCGAGGAGGCAGCCAGGGGCGCCCGGATGCCCGGCTTGGGTGGAGGAGAGGCTGTAAGTTAATTGAGACGAGCTTGGAAAGAGGGCTCTGTCTGCGCAACCCCCCTCCCCTGCGCCCCCCCTTCTCCTGGGGAGGGGGGTCAGGAGCTTTAGTCCAGGTGACATAGAGCCCCCCCTCCCTTGGGCGCCCGCAGGGAGGAGGGCCGGGGGCGGATGTGGGGAGAGGCCCCGGCACAGACGC